AAATTGTTTCGCGTGTTTACTCGCTAACAATTAAAAAGGGATCAGACGATTGTGTAAGGGACAAACCTCTTGGAACAAAGTTCCAAAAAGTGGTGTTTATCGAATATGAAGATTACAGTTTGGAGGCGAACAAGATGCCTCCAAGGGGCGCAAGCACACAAGTACAAGAAGATTGAAGTAATTAAAGTTAATCTAAGAAAAAGTAAATTACATATTCTCTGTTTGAGAGTGAATTTTGTCGTGGGGCTATTTTCGTTGTCTTCTTCTTTCTTTTATACCGCTTGGGTAGTTTTTAATCGTTTAAAAACTGTTTGTAACTACCCATTTATTTCATAATGTCCGACTGACCAATAACTGCCGTGTGTAACTCCTATCACCACGTATTCTCCATAACTGCTTGTCACCAACTTTCTCAAATCGTGGGGCGTAATTGTGATGTGCTCAAACCGCCTTAAATCGTGACTTTGGATAACAACAAGCTTTAGTCATCGCTGGAACTCTGGGCGACTCAGCATTTTTGGGTGATAATTGGTCTTCCACTCTGGGCGATTATATGATACTTCATTCGCTCAACATCTGGGCGTTCTGCAGACTTGGGCGACGACGTACCTTTGTTTTTGGGCTTTCATCATATTTAACGACATTCTTGATTGGGCTTTTACCCTGATCTCTCTAAATGGACTTCTTCTCTTGGGCCATTTCCTTTCTTGAGCCATTTGAATTGGGCTGCACATTTTGTGTGTTAACAGGTTCAACTAAATTCTATTTAAAAAAATTATTTTGGTGAGTGAATGTAAAGGATTGTTTGAACGTGTTTAGGAGCTCACATTATTTCATTTTTCTATTCTTTTTTGCCACATTTTGTTGAGTAATACAAAAGTTTGGTTTGCTGTTCATTTTGACAATTGCATATCTAAATATTTTGGACTCAGCAACATTCAAACAAGGATTGATTTTAAAATCAAATTAACCTAGAAAACTACACAAATGAAAATCCCATATAAGGACTAATACAGAAAATACATACCAAAAGAGGAATATGAAGATTCAAAACAGGTTGACCAATCCATCCTAGCTTACCCGAGTTAAGTTGGGTTGAGCCGTCCTGGTTGGTGATAGTGTTCTAAAATAGATAGAATCATTCTTTCCTTGTATTTTTATAGTAGTAGGTAACATCATGTATAGCTTATCTTAAATAAATTATCTTGGTATGATTGTAATCATTTTATATACTTGAGTCCCTGTTTGGTGGCCTTCAATTTGAAAAATATGTTTTGAACAGTATTTTTTTAGAGAATATTTGGTTAAAAAGTAGGAAAATTTTTTGAGTTACGTATAGAATATTTTATTATTTGAATGCGTGATTAAAAATGAGTATAATAAATAAATTAAAATAAAATAAATTAAATTAAAGGCCACTAAACAGGGGTTGAGTCCTATTGTATCTTCTATAGTGGAGCCATATCGTACATCTTATTGTTGAGTCCTAGTGTATATATTTTAGTTGAGTCCTATTAGGATGAAATTTGGGAGATCACGAAGCAACCGAATTGCCATAAAAAATCATAAAGTGGGAGATCAAAAAGCAACCCAAAGGGCGATCAAATAGCACGCCATGGCCAAATCATCATCGGGAGATAAAGAAGCAACCCGAAGCCTCAATACATGGTGTACAAATTCATTTAGGGATCTCTAGTATGTTATATGATTCTAGTTCACTTTGTATGCCATTTTAACATTCTTAAATCTTAATGATATAACTCATTAAAATAGAATAAGCACATTAAACGACTTTTCTCAAAATTGAATAAACACCTTGTGGAGCATTAAAATTCACATGTAAATAGCTTAACCTTCATAATGAGAATGCATAAATCTACAGTGGTATATTACTAAGATATGTTTGAAGTTCTATAGGTTGAACAACCTAAAATTTTAAAAACCTTATGTCAAAGTCAAGCTAAAAATCTAATTCTGGGGTTCTTTGAATCATAACAAATAAAGGAAAAATCATTTTCTGTCGTAGTAGAACAGGATTCTAGTACCCTCTCTGGTTTACATTGAGGATTTAGGATCCCAAAAGCATCAATAAAGCAATTTCTCATGGTACCAGAGTCTCATTTTCACAGCAGAACTTGGTTCTTCTTTCCTCCGGGTTCTAGCTCTTTGGGCCTTCTTCAAGCTTGCCTATGGAGGTTTTTTTATGTAGTTAAAGGTCTCCATTGTTAGGCTTCTTATACTCTAGATGTTAGAAGGAAGAGTTCTACCTAGCTTGGATAGTGGTTTCTTATTCTTCAGTGTTTGAAAGTTCTTAGGAGTGACATGTTTTTAGAGAGTTTTTTGCAAGAAATGAGAGAAGATAGAAATATATTACTTAGTTTTGAGATTCTAACTATGGATTTTTTACTTTTTTATTCAAGAACTTCTGACTTTATACACGCCCAGATAACAAAACAATGGCCCTCTCTTATCCTCTCCAAATCAGTGGCCATCCCTACATGGGTTATATTCTGATGAAAATTCCATCGGATATATTAGTTGAGGTGGTGGAGAGGGAAAATAGATCTTAGTTCTTGTTTTTGAAATGTAACAATGTGTTCTTGTCATGTATTTATCAATCATGCTACATTGACATCTTGGATGACAGAATGTCCATGTGACAGAAGTTCATAGGACTATTTAAAAGACAGCCAACAATATCATTTAATCATTTTTTTTTACACATTTTCTTCTATCAACAAAGATGTTAAAAACATCTGGCAACAAAGCTTAATTTTGTATTTGTTGTTATATATCACTTTTAGTGTGTGTTTCTGGTGGGTGGATGATGGTGATGTGGAGGGTGATGGTGGCAACGACACAAATCTATTGGTATTGGTGGTGGCACAGTTTGGTGCTGAGGGTGGTGATGATGATAGAGATGATGATAGTATAACATAGTATACCATAACTTACAAATGGTGGTAATATCATAAGACTACGTGTTACAAGTGAGAGTGGCGGAAGTGCGACAACAACGGCTGTGTGGTTAAAATATTTAACAGTCAGTTACACGTGTGGGGTAATTTTGAATATTAGTTGTTATTTTGTAGCTAAAAATCATCTTGTTATTTATTTTAAATTGGGGTAATTTTACTATCTAAAAAATTGTCAAGAATAAATGTGTAATTTATTGGTATCGATTGTAAATCTTACTTTTTTTTTGGGTGAGGAATATATAATCTCCTAAGCATTTAAATTATAATAAAACAAATCTAATTAGGGATCACATATTAACTCAAATAAATTAAAATCAATAATAACTCCATAATTGATTAATTAGATCTCTTTCAATCCTTAAAAGGCATAATTGATTAATTAGATTTTAATTCTTATTGTTTTGCTGCTTTTTCTTGATTTGAATTTTGTTTTTATCTCTGATTTTTGCAATTTATTTTCTTTTAACTCATACACAGTGCTTGTGAGAAGTGTTTAAAATTGAGAAGAGATCCACTACTTGACAGAATCTGTAATGGTGAGATTCTGCACTTTCCCCCAAAATGGGGCTCAAACAATGACGAGGTCAAATGGATAGATTCATATCAAGATGGCTCAAGCCCAAATCTTTTCGGTGAATGGACTTTGGAATTGAACAAGTACGGGCCGCGTTATCCCTTAGCTGATACAAATGGTTTACTTCCAACAATAGCATTTGACAAGCTGTAACTTGGTAATGCAAATACAATAAAGGGAAAATTTCATTTCTAAGATGTTAAGTATGTGTCAATTCAAAAATAAGAAAATAAGTTATAAATTTCAAAAATATGTGTCATTTCAAAAATAAGAAAATAAGTTATAAATTTCAAAAATCAGATTTTTTTTTTAATTTTTATTTATGAATTAATAAATTATTAAATAAATTTATTAAATATTTAATTCTAATATAATATAATTAATCAACCCCACCTATACCACCCTTACTGCTCTGGGGACTATTCCGGCGACCCTTTCGGCCACCACTCTTTTCCGACGATTTTTCAGGAGACTTTCCGAAGGACTTTTCTGACGACTATTCTGGTGACCGTCATAGATTCACAATTTAGTTAGTCACAAATTATTTTTCAGTCACAAATCATAATTTTTTAAGTCAAATTATTTTACGGTCAAATATCAAAAATTTTGTAGGTCACAAATTATTTCGAGATCACAAATCAAAAAAATTATAGTTCACGAATTATTTCGAGGTCACAATTCAAAAATTTTATAAGTCACAATTTGTTTATCGGTCACATGTCAAAAAATTTGTAGATCGCAAATTATTTCGAGATTACAAATCAATAATTTTATAGGTCTCAAATTATTTTATTGGCCATGGATCAAAAAATTACAGGTCACAATTATTTATGAGTCACATATTTTCAAATTTATTAGTCACAGATTAATTTTTAGTCACAAATTGTCAAATTTTAATGTCACGGTTAATCCATTATGTGATTTTTTTTTTAACCACCACCATCATCTGTACTATCGCCACGACCACTACCACCGCCTCCACGACAACCACCACGACCAACATCACCACCACCCAAACACCACGACAACCAGTAGTAACATCGTCATCTCCAAAACCATCAGATCCTGCCGATCTACCACCATAGTTACAACCACAAAATCGTAGCCGCACAAAACATCACCAACCACCACCACCGCCGACACTGCTGTAAACCATGACACCATTGCTAAAGCCACAACCACGCCTCAACACCACTGTACGCACAACACACACCACAGAACCCAACCATCGCACACACCACCACACAGCAGATCGGACGAGGCGGTGTTCAAACCACCGTACAAAATGAGCAACGTCTTGTACCCGGTTGACAATGACAGAGCGACGAAAAACCATCGCAGCCGTAAATCAACACCACCAATACCCAAGAATTAGATCGCCCAAAAATCGTCGATGATTGTTGTGCTCCGAGGATGTTGTCACCGCTATGCTCTAATTGCATCGACGACTATATCGCCGTATGATGCTCAGCAGTTGCGGAAGAAAGTTGCAGCTGCCCCGTGAAGTTGGATCATAGAACCAGCGGCCGCAGGGCGACGTAAAATCGAGGGGGAAGGAAATTGTTGTTAGACATAAGCTAAATGATTTGTTTGTTTCGTTACCGTCGGCTTTTGAAGAGAGATTTTCAGAAAATATGAGATAAGGGTTGTTACCGACAGCGAGCGTCGGTGGGGCACGTTCCCGTTATTGCAGCCACCTACTTTAAGGGCTACAACGGCGGCTCTCACCAGGTGCATCATCCTCGTCGTGGCTGCAGCGACAGAGGAATAGAGAGGAAGGTGATGAGAAATAGAGGAGAGGTAGAGAGAGAATGGGTTTAGGAGAAATGAGGTGGGGGTGGAAAGAGGTAGGGTTGATTTAGGAATTAATTAGGGTTTGGAGTATATAAATTCCGTAAAAATATTTATTTTATAAAAATATTAATTAAAATAAAATATCTCATTTTTGAAAGATTAAACTTCCCACCTGATTTTAGAATGTTGAATACTTAAAGTAGGGATTTGTGTAATTTCCACTACAATAAATAACAATCGACTAAAAAATAAAACTATGCGCTTTGGTCTCAAGTTGTCGACATGTATATCTCCAGCAGAGACAAGTTGGGATATATCAATGGTGATACTCTGCAACCATCCCCAACTGACCCGTCCTTTCGTAAATGGCGCACCAAGAATGCCATAGTCAAAGGATGGGTTATCAACTCCATGCATCCATCATTGATAAGGAATTTTATCAGATTTCCAACCGCGAATGGTCTGGGACTCCATTGCCTCTACCTACTTTGATGGGAGTGACACCTCCTAAGTTTACGACCTTCGAAGATGAGTGAGTCGACTGCACCAAGCTAGAGGCTCTCTTGAAAAATACTAACTTGATCTTCAAGGATTGTGGCGTGAAATTGATTTTCGTAGCCGCAATCCTATGAAATGCCCAGATGATATTAAAAAATATAATACTTTCCTCCAGGAAGAAAAGGTATATGTTTTTTTGGACGAGCTTGATGATAAACTCGACTAGATAAGGAGAGATGTGCTTCAGTTGTAGCTTTTCCCAACCGTGCAGCAAGCATTTGCACTGGTTCGCCGAGAGACCATTCTCCAAGCTGTGATGAATGAAAGCAACCCTGATGAAAATCTGATAGGATCCCCTGTCTCTGCTGATCAACTGGTGGATATGCTTGCTGGAATTCTGCAAATCAGCTGAAGGATAACCAAGTTAGCTGGATAGATTGTTGAGTTGTAACTCTGCTGAATTGTAACTCTCAATTGTACTCAATGAATGATCAATTGTAAATTGTTTATTGGAATATTGAATGACAGAAATGATACAATTCTCAGGCTATTCGAGAGGCCTGATCTCTCCCCATTTTCCTAACAGGAAAAACAATACTTCAATGATACCCTTCCCAGCCCCCTTTTCCTCTCTATTTATTTGCATTTTCTACTACAAGATTATTACACTTTTACCCTGCTAACTAACTAACTATTGAACCTTCTAGACTAACAATTGATGTGGCAGTAACAATGTGAACCGTATTAGAACCTATCAATACCCGCCGCCTCGAAATCCACCTTGTCCTCAAGGTGGAAGTGTGGTTCAACTTCAAACTTCAGAATTTCCATAACCAGTTGCATTTATAGTAATCTGTAGAAGAGTTTGGACCAGGGAAAATTCTTTTCCATTCTTGTTTGGGTTGTAAATCATTGTGGCGTGCTTAATGAGCTCATTTTTGTCTTCTTTCCTTTGGGCCCAATTCAAAAAGTTGGCCCAAACTTGAGGCTGTAACAAAAAATCAACATCAATGCATATATTGGACTTTCCTCCCCTTCTATACTTGGTAGCCCCTGAACTGATTATTGTCTTGTTCTTAGGTCCCCAAACTGGTTTGTAAATTCTTCCTTGGGGCCCCTTAATAAGGACAGCGGATTCATCAGTCTGGTCACTGTGGGCTCTGGCTATATGCTTGAGGTGAATATCAAAAGTTAATCCCATAAGAAGGTCAGTGGTGATGTCCACTTTGTCCTCCTCTTTTCTACCAGAATAGTTACTGACCACCAAACTCAGAAGCCCATTATTTATATTGTAATACTTGATTGGATTCTTCTCCCGCCACCGATGGTATAAGCGTCTCCCTTGCAGCCAAGCCCTCATTGCACCTAAAATAATGCAAAGTGGGTCGGAACCTTTATGCTTTGATGCCAAACAATTGCCAAAGAAGTTGTGCTCTTGGGATGGCCAGAATCTGCCGAACCGTAGGTCCTTCAAATTGGAACGTAACTGGGCTGAAATTTTGTCTATTAATGGGCTAGGTTTATTTTTATTTGGGCCTACATTTAGTTGGGCTTGTTTCATAATTTCGTTGCTGCATTCTACCAGTTGGGCCAATTTCATAATCTGGCCCAGACCTTGAGGCATAAGCACTGGAATTTCAGAATTGAAAGAAGCATCTGGTGAATGAAGAGCGGAGGAGAGGAGCTTGGGAAGCTGATTAGAGTCAGAATTCTCAAGGCGAGAAGGCCATAACTCGTGAGACTTGTAGTAAGGGAACAGATGGCTATGGTAGGGGTCAACGGTGCTCGTGCGGTTGCTTTGGTGCATCTCCGGCCACTCGAATCCGTACTTCGTGCTTTCATCTACGGTGACTATGGAGAAGCTTGTCGATTCTCCTTCCATTATGTATTGGGCAACACTGGTGATAGGCTCCACTTTGTTTAGGCCTATTTCGTATTGGGCTTGCATAATTGAAGCCTTGCAATTGACTTGTTCTTTGCTGCTAATGGAAGGACTGATTCTAACAGATGTTCTGCTTTTGGGAAAGAAATTTGGAGATGTCGATGGGTTGTAACGTGACTGGAAGGGAAGAGGAAGATTGGCTAGGGTTGGTGTTAATATGGGCTTATCCTTTAATGGGCCCGGTACAGTCCCACAAATATAGGCCACAGAAAAATTATCCTCAATTGTTTGGGCCAACTCCGAAACCTGCAATTGACACAGGCATTCTTTCACGGCTGTGTCTAAGCTTCCCCATTCCGAACGTTTCGGCGCTAGAATTTCTTTACCACTGGAGAGCTCAACACAGAGGTCACGCAGCTCCTTTTCCTTCTTCGACTGCGGATCGGCGTCCGTCAGCCACTTGAAAGGAGGTGCTGCTTTGGATGGTTTCTCTGCCACAGTCACAGTTCGAGTGAGGAAGCTCTCAGTCGTCTTCCACTCTTCGTTGCTTATTCCAGGATCGAAGAGTTCTGGGCCTGCAAGCTCAGCTTTCCCTGGTTTAACTTGGTGGTTCGAGCCACCGTCACATGCGCCAACTTCTTCCAGCTTGGGTGGAGTTTCACAGTTGGTTAATTTCCCCTCCAACACTCCATCCGAAGTCGTCGGTAATGGTGCTGATACAATTTCAGATCTGACCAGTGTTTGGCTTTCAGGAATCGCCTCAATTTCATCTAATTTCGGTATAGTTTCAGGCGTTGCCGTTGCTGGACCTTTTCCCGCCGCATCTCTTCGCATTTTTTCTATCATGGAATCGAACTTCTCCGTTATGTTAGTCATCGCCTTCATCATTTCTGATTTCAGATCTTCCCGTACCTGTAACACTGGAATTTCTTCCACCATGGGGACCTCCTTCTTGCCAAATCGATCCCGCAACAAACACTTCAATTCAGCCCAAGTTCGAATCGGCCGACGGCTTTTAATCCATGAAAACCACTCCTGAGCTTCACCCAACCAACATGCCGTAGCTGCTTCCATTTTTTCCCACTCCGACAATTGATTTCTTCCAAAAATTTCATCTGCTTTCCTTAGCCACCAATCTGGATCGCCATCATAGAATATTGATATGTCTAGTCTACCTACCGAATCCAATCCATAACCCCTTGCCATTGTCCTCAGATCGATGCTCTGATACCACTTTGATAGGATCCCCTGTCTCTGCTGATCAACTGGTGGATATGCTTGCTGGAATTCTGCAAATCAGCTGAAGGATAACCAAGTTAGCTGGATAGATTGTTGAGTTGTAACTCTGCTGAATTGTAACTCTCAATTGTACTCAATGAATGATCAATTGTAAATTGTTTATTGGAATATTGAATGACAGAAATGATACAATTCTCAGGCTATTCGAGAGGCCTGATCTCTCCCCATTTTCCTAACAGGAAAAATAATACTTCAATGATGCCCTTCCCAGCCCCCTTTTCCTCTCTATTTATTTGCATTTTCTACTACAAGATTATTACACTTTTACCCTGCTAACTAACTAACTATTGAACCTTCTAGACTAACAATTGATGTGGCAGTAACAATGTGAACCGTATTGGAACCTATCAAAATCCTGGAGTGGTTCTAGCATCTAGGAGTATTAAATTTGCCCCCTCTGTTCAATCTAAAACTGATGGAAGCAAAAGAAAACCTTCAAAGACTCGGGCCCACTCCGATGGACAGAAATGTTCACATTGTGGAAACACGAATCATAACCGTGACAACTACTTTCAACTTCATGGGTACCCTGATTGGTAGCATGAACTCAAAGCAAAAAAGGGGCAGGATGGCGCTGGTTCTGGAAAAAAATCTGATTCTGGAAGAGTAGGTACAACATCAATTGCTACTACATATTTGCATCTTTCTCTCATTCCACCTGAGAAGTCCTCCCAAGCCGACACTTCCTATGCAAATTCAGGTAGTGCTTTTGCATCTTTCTATGCCCCTAGAGATAATGACAGAGATCATTGGCTCCTTGATTCCGGTTCCACGGATCACATGACGTTTGATGAAGCAGATTTTACAACAACGTCATCACCAAAAAGAACCATGATTGCTAATGCAAATGGCGTAATCTCCCCAGTAACATGGGCTGGTTATGTAACTCTATCTCTTTCTCTACAATTATCTAATACATTGCTTGTTCCGTCACTCTCTCATAAGCTACCATCTGTTAGCCAAATTACAGTAGAAAAAAAATTGTGTTGTGATAATTTATCTCGATTTTTGTCTTATCCAGGTATTCTTACCAAGGAGATAATTGGGCGTGGTACTAAGAGAGGTGGGGTTATACTACATGGATGATTTCAGTTTAAGCCAAGCACATCACATGCACGGTTCCCTTGGACCTAAGGAACAATAGATTTGGCTATGGCACTGCCGGTTGGGTCATCCATCCTTTAGCTACTTAAAACATTTATTTCCTAATTTATTTCCTCAATTGTCGATTTCTGAATTCGAATGTGACACTTGTATTTTGGCCAAGAGTCACCGAACTAGCTATCCTTTAAGTATGAATAAATGTAACACCCCATTTATTTTAATACATTCTGATGTATGGGGTCCATCCCTGTCTCTGTTGGATCTGGTATACGGTGGTTTGTGATATTTGTTGATGACTGTACACGTATGACATGGTTATATCCGTTGAAACACAAAAATGAGGTACTAAATGCATTCCAAGCATTTCATAATATAGCTCGTACTCAGTTCTCAACACAGATTAAAATTCTTCGCTCAGATAATGGTGCCGAATATGTTAATCACCACTTCCAAGATTATTTTTGAAAGCATGGTCTTCTTCATGAGACCTCTTACCCCAGACTTTTCTCCCCAGTAGAATGGGATTGTTGAGTGCAAAAATCGATACATTCTTGAGACTGCTCGGCCATTACTACTTGGTGCCCATATACCCTAGCGCTATTGGTCAGATGCTGTCTCCACAGCCGTGTACTTACTGAATAGAATACTGTCAAAAGTCTTAAATTTCAAGACTCCTCTTCAGGCTCTCTCTGCTAGAATTTCTCTACCAACGACATTAATGCTTCCTCCTAAGATCTTTGGTATGTAGCATGTGTCCATCCACTTAAGAATCAATGCACTAAGCTTGACCTATGTGGACTCTGCTGTCTTTTCTTTGGATACAGTGTCCATCAGAAAGGGTATCCCTGTTATGACCCTTCTACTAAGCGAACTTACGTCACCATGGATGTTACATTTCTGGAATCAGATACATTTTACCCATTCTCGGCAACTATATATCCTCTTTAGGAGGAGACAGGAAGTGAAGAGCCAAGATGGCTAGCCCTTGATTGGGTTGCTACTCAGGACAGTGAAAGGGTAAATGCAAAAATTGTTGAACCAAGTAGCTCTCCAGTTGATGTATTGTAAACCTCTGAAGCTGAATCATCTAAATTTGAACCCTCTAACTCTTCAATACCTGCAGACCCATCTCCTGAGAATATCTCTGAGGTAATTATCCCTACCACTCCTCCATACACTAATAATACAGATACTTCTGCCAGGTATACTTTACCTTTCAGGCACAATCGAGGCAAACCACCAAATAGATACTCTCCTGATGAGGAGAAACAGAGTACAAAGTACCCAATTGCCAATTATGTCTCGACCAAGAAGTCACCCGAGCCCCTCAAGACATTTGCATGCAAACTGTCCTCATGACATGTTCCGACTAGTATTCAGGAAGCTCTAGTTGACCCAAAGTGACTCAAGCTATACAAGAAGAAATGGAGGCATTACTGAAGAACAAAACATGGACTCTAACCTCACTACCAGAAGGGAAGAAAACTGTGGGATGCAAGTGGGTGTTATCTATCAAACATAAAGCAGATGGTTCAGTTGAACGATACAAAGCAAGACTTGTGGCAAAATAATATACACAGACGTATGGAGTAGATTACCAAGAGACATTCTCACCAGTGGCAAAATTGAACACAATTAGGGTTCTATTGTCTCTTGTAACAAATTTGGATTGGCCACTACATCAGTTCGATGTAAAGAATGCATTTCTCCATGGAGATCTTGAGGAGGAGGTGTATATGGATGTCCCACCAGGCTATAAGGCATCATCAATCAACAATGTTGTTTATAAATTGGAGAAAGCTCTATATGGATTAAAGCAATCACCTCGAGCCTGGTTTGGGAGATTCAATCTAGCAATGAAGAAGTACAGTTACAAACAAAGTAACTTAGATCACACTCTCTTCTTAAAACATCGATTGGGCAAGGTAACAACTATGATAGTCTATGTGGATGATATGATAATTACAGGAGACGACGCTGAAGAAATACCTCGACTTCATAAGCAGTTGGCAACTGAATTTGAAATGAAAACATAGGAGGACTCAAGTATTTGTTGGGAATCGAAGTTGCTAGGTCACAATGAGGTATATTCCTTTCACAATGGAAATATATATTAGATTTGTTATCCGAGGTAGGAATGTTGGAATGTAAGCCTGTAGATACTCCTATCATTCAAAACCACAGACTCAGTGAGCATCCTAACCAAGTACCAACAAATAAAGAAAGGTATCGAAGGCAAGTTGGGAAGCTTATCTATCTCTCACATACACGTCCAGATATAGCCTATGCAGTGAGTGTCGTAAGTCAATATATGCATAACCCGAGCGAGAATCATATGGATGCTGTAATCCGAATACTTCGGTACTTGAAGTCCTCTCATGGAAAGGGACTTATGTTCACAAAAAATAAACATCTACAAATTGATGGTTTTTCAAATGCAGATTGTGCAGGGGATATCAAAAATAGAAAGTCTACTTCAGGCTACTTCACGTTTGTTGGCGGAAATCTTGTTACATGGAGGAGTAATGGCGTTGTCAAGTGCTGAAGCTGAGTTCCATGGAATGGCTAAAGGATTGTGTGAACTCCTATGGCTTAAGAAGTTGTTGACCGAACTTGGAATTAACATCACCTCATAGATGAATCTCTTCTGCGACAATAAGGCCGCTATTGCCATTTCTCAGAATCCCATTCAGCATGATCGTACCAAGCATGTGGAAGTAGATCATCATTTAATCAAGGAGAATCTCGAAGCTAAAATTATTCGATTTCCTTTTGTAAAGTTCGAAGACCAGTTGGCTGATGTACTCACTAAAGCTGTATCCAAGAAAGAATTCCACAACTCAGACTCCAAGTTGAACATCCAAGATTTGTGAGCACCAATTTGAGGGGGAGTGTTGGCGTGAGTAGAATAATTATAGGAAATTTTAATTAGGAAATCTTCCCTGTATAGTAAACCCTTATTCTGCCTTTATTTTGCCTAAAAATCTGGCATTACCTTGTAAATATAGACGGGCTCTCCCTATTTATTTTGTAAACTTTATAGTGGAAGTAGATTGATTTTGCAAGGACCGACAATTTTGTGAGTCTGATCATCTCATCTTTGTCTATGTCTCGAATTGGAATAAATTACGATAATCCATTCCCATCCATGGGTGTAAAATGGGACAACTGTAGTCATGTATGAATGTGAGATCAGAAAGGATGTTAATCATGAAATTTTTATAACAATAAATCAAGCATGATTATTACTATACCCTCCGTGACAGACCCCTCACAATAGGGGGTTAGGCAATAATTTTTTGGCCTTTTTTTGTTGACATGAATCCAATTTCCATGTGCGTATATGTCGACAAAAGTGACATTTTCATTCTGATAAAATAACATAATTCTATTATATAATACCTGTCAAATAATAATTTCACATGGTTTAAGTTCACATAATTTCAAGTTTATGTATCATTCATAAAAGCTATGTTGACGAAGCAAGTCTGCACTTGAAAATTGATCGTATATATCATATTAAAATTGTGGTTCCATCTTAAAATGTCAACTTTTTAAAAAGGAGTAGTTCAAACTCTTATATGTCAATTTATATTTTCATCTTTATTCAATGTGAAATTTATCCTTTAACATGCCTCACAGGATGTTGGCTCCTTTAACATGCCTCGCATGATGTTGGCTCTTTTATATCATGTTGAGATACTCACAGCAGACTTTGCAACACACCTTTCGATTCAAAAAAATCGTTACACGACAAAACTGCAATGAAATTAAGAATTATGATTACAATAAAGAGTACACACACACACAAAAAAAAAAGTTCGATCACTATAAAGTGTTTTTATTTTGTAGCAATTTGATTCAAATCCACGAAATAAAGAATACTTGAAATTCACTAGTATGCTGACTTTTAATTGGTTTGCTGCTGTGAGTTTGACTCTCTGAGTTTCTTTTCATCAGATAACAATTTTGCAAACCTGTAATGCACAAAATAAGCAAAGTAAGTAGCTTATTCTATGGCTAAACAATTATAATTAAGAAAAGAATTTAATGCTGTGGTTTATGCAATATGAAATTGTACTTTATCAAAGCCTCTTCATTTGTACCACCATTGGCAATGGCCTCAGTGTTTCCTGTCTGAAAATTGACTCTGGAAACTGGGGAATTCAATAAATTTTGCCCAATGTTCACAAGGTCTGTTAGATTCTTCTTCGTGGTAACATCGATTGACGAAGTTACTCCGGTCAGCGTGTCGTCCTGCATGCAATTGGCCAAAATAAGATACGTAGAGATGTAAAATGAGTTCGTCTGTCTCTAGTAAACTTCATATCACGTCGGACTGAGGGTTGTTAGAAGCTGGACTCAACTTATGGGCCGTTCTGGTGGGCTCGCCGATGCCCATTTAGGCCTCGAAAATGTGGGTTGTGTGGATTAGGTACGACCCATTTGATACTTCTACTCCTCAAGTCATTAATAGTTTCGTATTATATATAAGTAAAAGAATAGGAATTGATTTAATCTCACTTGAATACGGAGGTAATTGTCATCATTATGGAGTGCTTGGAAGACGACTGATATGAAATAATCCACCATATCTGCAGGTGCTTGTGTAAAAACATCGACTAATGGGGACGAATTTCCTTGTATGAGCCAGCCAAACAAGCCCCATTTTGCTGCCATTTCAGCACTATATTTCAGTTCTTGTTTTGCACGTCCTGTGCCTAATGAGATCACCAGCAATCGCCCATAGTCCAGTGGCTGAATTGGGAAGAAATTTGGATCGTTTCGCGACGCTTGTTTGGTTACTTCTCTTATAGCAACCAAAGCCTGCACTAAAGATTGACGATAAAATTTACATATTGCGACCTTGTTTTTATACGATGTTTAGATGAAAGTAAGATTCGATAGAATTAAGAAAAAAATGAAATTTGTCAGATATTATTTCTTTTGGCTAACCGGGCCATATCATAGTTTCTTGATTAAAATGAAAGATTTACGTTGTGTCATAAAGAAAACAAGTTCAATGGTCCTTTTGCAGTTGGAATATAAGTTATGTGACATCTAGAATTTTGTTACATACCCTAAAGTCAATAATTATTAAAATAAGATAAGCATCTTTAAAACTTGATTGATATAGTATTTCAATTGTAGGATGGTTAGAAGTTCTGTACTTATAAAACTATAGATCAAAGAGAATAAATTCTAGTGTTTTAAAAATCGATCCTAGACATTAATGTATAAATAGTTTAAAGGGTTGAATCAATGGTAAAAAAATAAATAAAAAAATAAATTCTACTGTTTTAAGAGGTTAAGGGCGTGTTCAGTAGAGATTGAAATCGGATTAAAATTGAAAAATTAACCATTATCGTTGACTTTTATTAGACGAATGAGATCCAATAAAGGCTATATTTCCAATTTTAATTGGATTTTAATCTTTACCATACGAGCACTAAATCAGATTGAATTCCAAACAAATTCTCGATTTTTTCAGTTGAACTGGTCTCATAAAACATTACCGGATTATTTGCAGCGACGCCACCATCTATAAGATTGAATTCCCAAGGGTTTCCAGAGCTATCAGTACCATTCTTAAAATAATAAGCTGGAAATACTGTTGGCGCAGCAGATGTCCCAATGCTTATATCAGACAATAGAGCATCCAAGTATGGCAAATTGTTCAACTGCATCAATAATATTATTTGTTACGATCATTATCTGCATGCATCTGAACATTATTCCTTTCTAGAAAAGTTAATCTTTTGGATGAAACCCTAAACTGGAAATTTGATCAATCTAAAGCTCAAGACAGCAGTAAAATTTCAATATTAGCATTTCCAAATGAGCCACTATCTTACTATACATGCTAAGGATATAATCCCAAGTCGCTGAAATGTGTGCGCGTATAAGAGAGAGAGAGAGAGAGAGAGAGAGACCTCATAAGAGGAGAATATAGTTGGTTGCAGAAGCTTTATGTCAAATGTTGGGATGACAACATTGGTTAAAGTTTGATGCAACCTAGTCTGTCCTAAGTTGTCCCTTATCAGTTGATGAAGGTATCTCCCGTCATACTTTGGAGCTCCTAATGAAACAATAGTACTTTCAACTGACCCTAACCTGCAAAATATGAAAAATTCTGAACTTCCGTTCCACAAAAATCAAACACAATAAAGTTTCTCTTGAATATTAATTACCACTTTTGTGGGAATATTTCAGGTCCATTTTTCGTGTAAAATGGAACGATATCTTCAGCAGCCATAATGGGACGATTATTAGCATCCGGAGCGGTTAACATGGCAGTTATTAGACCTCCGGTGCTGGTTCCCGCAACTACATCGAAGTAATCTGCAATTCTTGCTTGTTCTCCATCCAATTTCTGTCCCATAAGTTTCACCATTTGTTAGAGTATTTTCTACTCGATAAATCCTTATTAAAAGATTCAAGAACTGACAGATAATTGAATCACTATATATAGTAACCGTCATCGTATATCTACAAGTATTTGTATCTAACAGGAACACAATTGAGTGCATTCGATTATTGCATATCATATACGAACTAAGAATCGTACCTGAAGTTCCGATTCAAGAAATTCAAGAATAGTGGCAGGAATGATGCCCCTGATGCCACCTCCATCAATGCTTAGAATGGTGATCAGATTGCCATAAGTTGGAGGAAGCATTTTATAAACAACAAATGATGATTTGAGATAATAATGCAATGTCAAAGGCTAAAGCTGCTAAATGATTGGGTATTTAAAGAACAAAGAATAGGTTTTTTCAAAATTGGAATTCCATTTATTGTTAATCAATAGAGAGCTTTCTGTGTAATCATGCTTCCAACAAATAAAAGAAAATTCCAATCAATTCTGTTTAGATGGTTGTAGGTCATAAAACAGCTTAAAAATTTTGTTAAACATCTTAAAAATTCTTATGCCGTGTGCAACATATTTTGTTTATTTTAGCCAAGTCAAACGTTTTACCTTAGTTATTTAAACAACCAAGAAATGTTCCTATGTAATGTAACATGTTCTTGCCACACACTCAATTTAATATATAAATGATAAGATTTAAGAGATGCCAGGAAGTGCATATATGGTTCTATATCTCAGAAGTCTTCGATCTTAACATCTCGATGACTATGAACACATATATTTTATCAAACTCAAGAACACGATACTCGCAAAGTGAAAGAGTCCTATAAATATAATTTAAACTTAATATACTGGCATAAATTTTTAATTCAAACTTTTAAATTGAAATTAAATTCTACATGTTGTCCCTCACCGGTTGTGGAAGGCCAAATTTGAATAAATTATTTGTGAAAAATTTATTCATCTGAAATTCTTCCCAACGAAAAGGTCAAAATAATTGAAGAATAATTTTTATAGTTAATCTCACGTTTCTGCTCATCTTATTATTTGTCTAAAAAAGGAAAAAGAATCAAGTTTCTCTTTGTTCATGAAAATATATTTCGAATTACCACAGCAAGTGTACGGTTCGTTAACAAGTAATAAAATGGATTTTAAGTCCGAGTATCGTCCCACAGAGATTGATTAATTCAATTTTAATTATCGCGACCTTAACCGAAACAAGAATAATATGATATGCTTATTTGAGATGAAATTAGAACTAAAATAATCTATTTATGCAATTGTGAGTAAATTAACTAAACTAAATGCACATTATACCAAATGCAAATTAATATGTTTAATAGATGACAAACGCATTATGATCCCAAATTCTCCTACAATAATCTTTTTTTAACCTTAGATCTATACTTTGACAATATGATTGGATTTTGACGAATCAATGTTCATATTTTATTTAACAATCTCTCTCGAGTAATGTTAAACCTGCTCTCATATATGCATGAATATATTTCTACGACAGATGTGAACAAACAAGAATGCAAGCGAAAGTTCGATTTAGAGCTACAAAAAATGAAATTAAACTCGAATACAATCTCCGTCAGAGGCGCCAAAAACTTATTCACGAAAATATCTTTCGAATTAAAACTACCGCAAGTGTACGGTTCGTTAACAAGTAATAAATTGAATTTTGAGTTCGAGTATTGTCCCACAAAAATATATTAGTCATGACCTTAACCGAAACAAGAATAATATGATATGTTTGTGACAAAATTATGAATAAATTAATCTACTTATGCAATTATAAGTAAATTCACTAAACTAAATGCAAATTATATTAAATGCAAATTAATATGTTTAATAAATGACAAACGTACTAGGATCCCTAATTTTCATGCAATAATCATTTTTAACATTAGTTCTACACTTTGATAACACGAGTGAATTTTGACGAATCAATATTTCTATTTTATTTAACAATCTCTCTCGAGTAATGTTAAATTTACTCTCATATATGACCCCCTATATTTTTATGAGGATGCGAACATACAAGAATGCATGATTTTTTATGAACACTTAAAAATTCACATAAAATATAGCTGTATATTTATATTCCTTATCGGACCCTATGACGATTTACACTATGTCAAACTTATTTTTCTTCTTTCGAATACATAAATTAAGTCACCAAATTCATATAATTATCGTGCACAGTAATCATAGAGAAAAGAAAATCATGTAAATCATTCAATATCCAAAAACGTGTTTTCAATGTCAAATATGTAAAACTAGAAATTAAAAATTCTTGTTACAAGGATCTTCGTTCTTCTAAGACAAATAAATCTAGCCTAACATGTAATGAGAAAGAAAACAAAAGAAATATTGAAGAATCGACATCATCCAAATAATGTTTGAATTGAATCTTCGAGTCTTGAAATTGATTTTCGTGTTTCTTGCCTCCTTCTATGCTCCCAAAATATTTTAGAATGTGTGTTCTAATGTGTTGTCTCTAATTCTGGACGACGCTATGGTTATGAAGTTTAGGGTCGGGTATAACTAGGCGGCTGCCTAGTTATAAAAACTTTACGAATTTGACTTTCAGCCATTTTTTTCATTCTTTCTTCTATCTTGGTCCTCCACATTAAATTACTTTGATTTTAGGACTTCAACTTTCACTCAAATGCAAATTAGCCCCCAAACTTCCATCTATTGGTCAATTGATCCTTATTTCTTTTCCAATTGCTTGGAAACGAGTCCGAAATTGAAATAAGATAAAATTAACGTAAGTTAAGTAAAATCCAATACTCTAACGACACAAAAAACTTAGTAATATGGCCTGAATGAGTGCACAAAAATGCACTTATCACTCTTCATTCCTTTGATTTAAGAAATCAACTGGTTGCAATACTTTTATAGGAAAAACAATAAAATGGTGAATAAAAATGCACTCAATTGGGTATACTTGAAGATTGGTTATTTTAGTTTATGGTCCTTTGAACATAGAGATTTCAAATATATTCACGCAATAGAGCGACAATATCCCTCTACAACGTTAAAGGATTTCTAAGTATGGTCAAACAAACCTACAATTTTTGATTGAGTTTGGACGAAGATATACACTTCTTCTTAAACTCGTCAAGTAGTATTTCTAATAAAGTCAATCCGAAGTGAAAAGCTCACACACGACTTGCCCAAAACACTCAATCGGTTGATCCCAAAACACTTCTTCTTAATGAATTTGAGCTATAAAAACAAACGAAACTGTTCACATACTAAGTTGTTTCAATTATTAAAATAATTGTCAATGCTTCTTAATTTTTAATTAGCTTGAGCTTATCTAGGATATTTTTAATTTCTCTTGGTCAAGAGTTTACCTGTTTGGAATCATTGCTTGGTTTACTTGCCAAAGTTTATGGAGATAATCCTATATAATTAAGATGAGATTGAACAGATAATCTTATGAAGATTTCCTAAACTTCAGATCAGTTTACATGTAGCAAATATAATATATTGTTTGTTGATTTATTTATTTCTTTATAAGATTATAACAAGATATTGGTTCAAAGAATTGTTTGTTTTGTACAACTCGTTGGATCTCAAACGTGCATCATTTTGTATCATTTTGCTATTAAGATTTGAGATCCTATCTTAAATCGTCAAACTTATTAAGAGAAGTAACACAAATCCTTACGTATTAATTGAAAATTTTATATTTAATTGACGTAAATTTAACCCTTAATATTTACACAAAAATAGTGGTTTACTTGAGAACACAAATCTTGAAATTAAAATGCTCACATCAACTTTTGGCGAGTTTCTTAGGGATGGCAATGGTATGCAGGGGCGGATTTGGCAGTGGGCTGTGCTGGGCTGTAGCCCACTGCTGTCCAAGCCCAGATACACTACACAATGCTGAAATTAGTTGAAAATGGTTTTAATTGTAACCTGTAGCCCACCAACAATTATTTTCAATAGGCTAGCCCATCTAAATTTCTCACCTAATTGTTTCTTTTAATTTCTGGCCCAATTATATATTTAGTTTTAGGCCCAATTTTTAAAACAAACTTATTTAATTTAAACAACTCTTTTTTCTTTAATATTTGAAAACCAGAAATATTTCCCCTCTTTAAATCGTAAAACTTTTCACCCATTCACGAGCCGACGATTGTGCGACCGCCGAACCACCGACCGCAACTATTATAAATTGTAGGTATTTTCATGTTTAGCAACAAAGAATCGAACTAGTTGAGGTTTGATGAGTTTCTTTTGGAAGAAATTTCACATTCCATAGCATTTTGTAAACAGTAAATTGTAAGTTTCTTACTGGTAAATGGTAATAGTGTAAAGCATAAGCATAACATTTAAGTTGTAATTGTGCAAAGCATCCGTAGAATGTTAGCTTTCATCGTGCAATTGTGAGTTGCTTACTTGGATTCTGGGGAAATGAAAATGTTAGCTTTCATTGTGCAATTGCCAATTGAGAATTTTGCAATTAAACAAAGAAGATTATTGGTGTCTGGTAAGTAAATATTAAAACAAAGCTAATTTATTGTTAATTAAACAAAGCTATTTTGTGTGCAATTGTGCTTGATGGATTTGATGATTATCAATTTATGTTTACGGGATATTGAAGTATTTTCATTTTTATATTTTTAGATTTAATATGAAAAAAGATCGATCTTTTGTCAAGAAATGAAGAAACTTGTTATATTTATTTTCAAAGAGCGGTACTTCAATTCCTACGGTGCCCATTCCTCCAATCTTTCTTTTGTTGCTGATTGTTTAACATTAAATATTGAACGAGAATTTAGCATGAATTTAGATCTAGATTCTATTATAGATAAATTTTATGCTGTAAAATATCGTCAAGTACAACTGTAATAGGTAATGTTATATTACGACTTTTTTTTATTATGTGTAAATTTCATTCGTACATTAAGTTTTAAAATTTTTTGCCCCTCCTAACATTCATTTCTGGTTCCGCATCCATAATTATCATTCGACTCGAGAGTGCAATTTCGAATTTTTAGTAGAATAAGTCGGGTTTAATAGATGAATCTTAATTGGTTGGAGTTGACCTAATTAGAATATCTATTGGAGCTTAGGTCTCGTGAGTTCGATTAGGTCTTTCTGATGTATGTGATTCGTCTAAGTGTGCCCTGAATAGCCCATAGTCCTCCTCCTGTAGTAATGCAGTGAATAGCCACTATAGAATCTGAATCAACCCAAATTGTTGAATAACCCAGTCCTTGAGCTAGTAAAATCCCATGAAGAATAGTCCGAAACTCTGCCTCTAATATCATGCATGGTCC